AAATTCCACACACACACACACACACACACTGGCACGCGCCGGACTGTAGCAGAAGAATCCACCGAAAGACGACGCAGAACCCGGCGAAAAATCAATTTGTTCCTTCGCGTCTCTCGTATGCGACGCGCAGCTTTTCGATTCGCGACGGCTGACGCTCAACGAGCAATTTTAATTAAGTGACACCGCCGTGACTAACGCCGCGTGCGAGCACGCACGTGATACACGAGCCTCAAACGTGACTCAGGACTGGTTCCCGGGAGTTTTCAGGACTCCATCGTCTCCGCTCTGCCCGCAAAACCACCGCGAAGGAATTTAATTGCGTCTCTTCTGTCGTCGAAAAACACAACCCTCTCTCTCTCTCTCTCCCCTCGTTTCGTACGAGCACCGAAATAACCGGCGATTTACCTGAAGTCATCGTTGCTTAATCACGCCGCGCCATTTTATAGGCCGCGCCGACACGGCGCGGGGCTCGTAACTTTTTCGATCGCCGGGGGATTTTAAATCCGGCGTTTTAAGAGAAAGCCCGAGGACGTTAACGCGACCGGCCGCTAAACCCCTCGCTTTACGCCCGTGGAAACGTATCGTCGCCGCGATGTCTCGATGCGCACGGCGTCCACATGCTGCGAACGAATTTTATTTCAGGACGAAAGATCCTCCTTTTACCTTTGGGGAATCGGACCAGCGCGGCCGCCGTCCGCAACCAGGAATCGGGTATTTTTGGAGCCTCGTAGGGCGCCGTTTCGCCTCGCCGTCTCCGTCCTCTTCGCTCGCGCGTGGATGGCGACGGCGTTCGCGACGACCGCATTTTTCCGCGGCGCGCCCTCGCGAGGGAGATAAAAATATTTTCGCCGGGCGCAAATGATTATCCGCGACTCGGCGCGGTTAAAAGTCAGCGCGCGACTCGCCGGCGACCGCGCGAGAGGAATATTGATCACTGTGTGAGCAGTGACGTCGGAAATGTCTATATCGTTTGTTACGCGATCGCCCCGTCCCGATATGGATCGGCGCGTCGTTCGATTATACCTCGACGCGCCCGTCCGTGCGTCTCGGACGCCAGCCTCGTCAACCGTTCGACCGCCAAACGAGATCCAGCGATCAATAACGCAAACTCGAGCGCGTCGCGATGCTCGCGAGATCGCCCGGTTAATCGACGTATCGCACGACCGCAGGAGATGTTTTCTTATCCTACACCCTTCCTCTCTCTATGTCTCTTGTTTCGTGATCGCGCAAGTCTCGCTTCCGGAAGTGAAATCAATGCGCAGGAAATCAAGTCAAGCGCTCCCTTTGCCCGACTTGAAATTTCGTCATCAGGTACACCTGATATCGTATAAGGTATTAACTAAGTGAGCGCAAGGTAATCCTTATTATGGCAAATCTAATGATGTACTGATGAAAAGTGAATAAGGATAATCTTTGTAAGGTTGTAATGATTACCCGAGTCGAATCTACTTGGTTCACATTAAGTCTTCAAGTCGAGAAAACGAACGGAACTCGTTTGTAGCATCAAAAGAGTACAATACAAGACCCAATGGAGACTTAATGTATAACTAAAATTTCGGCTGGGTACATATTAGGACTTTAGTGTATTATTCTATGTTATTTTGTCAAGTTTATTGATCAGGGTTCTTTTCGAAATTTTACTCACTTTACCCATTATGATTTGCATCATCAATTTCTGATACGGACCTTTTGTAGCAAAATCTATTATACAATAGATTTTATTAATTAACTTTATTTTTATAAGTTTTTTTCCCATAAAAATATTCGTGTTTTTAATTTCAAATTAGAAAAAGTTTTGCAATAGTTTCATATATATTTTATACAAGTTTTTCTTTTAAGTAAACTGTCGCTCATCGAATGTACATTTTTTAAAAACTTATTGTATTCAGAGTATCCGAAAATTTTCGGTACATCCCTGCCGGTAGAGCGGATTAAACAGGGAAGTCATTTATCATTTTTATGAAATTGGCAATAATTATTAAGTAATTAATTAAATCGCCTGAGCGAATGAGCGCACGGGAAGCGGAAGCCATCATTCTTTATATGTCTATAGAGTCCGGCCCATTGCTTCCTTCTCATTCGCTCAGATGATTTAATTAATTACTAATAATTATATTAATAAGTATAGCAAAAATATTAATAGTTTTAACGAATTTTGTAAAATGGTGCTTTTCTATTCATTTTGATCTAATTGATTTTCACACTTCAGCTTGGCAAAAAAATGTGAAACATCCTATATATAATACGAAGAAGAACAAATGTTGTTAGAATTAAGCGACTTTTTATATTATTCGAATTATTAAAATTGAAAATCGTCCAATTGTAACAATATTTGTTTTTCGATTGGTATTTTGTATTTTTCACTAGTTTAGCATTCCCTGCCCTTTACAAATCCTAATCTAATCATAGTCGTTTCCATTACATGAAGTAAATCGTAATGGGAATTCAATGGGATAATATAACATGATGAGGACATTATAATGAAACCTGATTAAAGTTCTGATTACCAGGCAGCGTTACATGACTTCTAGTATAACCCTAGATGAATCCAACAGCCAGTTAAAGTCAACCCGAGCTGGACCATGGGTTAAATTGTTATTCGGGTGGGAGTCGATTTCGAGAGGCGGGGTGGAGGAATTTCCGAAGGGATTTCTGAATCCTGAAAAGTCGCGTCTCATCCGATGATTTAATCGGCCAGCCGATCGGGCTTAACAGTCGACAAATCCACCGAAGAATCCACGACTCGGAGGAGCTCTCGGGGTTGCGATACAATCGGTCTCACGATTCCGCAATTTCCGGCTACCCTACTGTTGCACCTGTCCCTGCGTGTCGTACAGCCCCGCATAAAACAGTCCTCTTTTCCTTAACCTCCGTGCTGCCTATCTTCTCGGTCGACCCTCGCCGACAGTCGTGAAGAAAGTCGCCAATACGTCGTCGTCGTTATTGCACGCGCGTGAATCGCACGGCGGCCGTGACACTTTCCGAAGTTTATGGCGTTCGGTCCCCGGGATGCAAAGGGACAATGCAAAGGGCGACAGCCCCCGAGGTAATGCGGTCGGCGGGAATATACGGTTACTTGGTAGGGTGCTTTTGTCGCAGCGAGAGGAGCTCAGCGGCGCGTATCCGCGACTCGTCGAGGCGGGCTCGCGACTTTGCACGGTCGAATTTTCGCGGGGGAAAAATCGAAATCGCTCGCCGAGCAGCAAAACGCTCGGGTAAAACGCGCTTAGTCACGCGAGTCACTTTTCGCCCGGCGAACGACCGTCGTTCCGGCGAGACCCTCGCGATTTTGCCCGAGCGCGGCGATTGCGCCGATTTTTCCGCGCTCCGTCGCGAGGCTGAATGGCGGTTACGTCGAGCGGGCAGGTAGTAGTGGCTGGTGCCGGCGATAGTAATAGTAGCAGTTGCGCTGGTAGTGGTAATAGTAGCGGCACTTAACGGTGAAAGTGTGTCACCGCGTTTTTAATTTGCGCTCCATCGTCATAGATCGCGGCGCGGTCTTGAAACCCTCGCGCGTCACACACTAAGACCGAGTTCCTGCATCCTGTGCGCGGCAAAAAGCCGCGGAAAAATCGGTTTCCGTATCCTTTCCTCGGCCGGTAGAAAGGCGAGCGAACACCGGCAAACGCGCGGACACACGCGTTGCGATAATCGAAAGCGAAGAGCGAGATAAAGGTGAGGACGGAAGCGAGTTATTGATACGGTACGCGGTTGCAAAACTCACAACTCGCTCGCAATGAGCGTCTCCCTCTCGCGATCGATTATCCGTGCCGGTACAATGGCGACACTTCCGAGAATACGAATCTCGCGCGAGCTATTCTATTCTCATCGGCGCGCGCAATGTCACGCTTGTAAATACGACGGATAAGGCACGGCAACAGCTCCTCGCGATTTCCACCGAGCTATTCACCGCGAGCGGCACTCTCCGCCAGCAGATTGAATCTTATCTAAATGCGAAAGGTAAATCGCGCGATGTTATCGGCTATACAAATAATTCCCGATTAACCGGATAGAGCGAACGTAAGCAAACAGACGCGTTACTACGACTCGAGTCTACGAGTAGTTACAACCAGCTGAACTCTACAGAGCGAAGATAACTGCGTAATTCAATATTTTCAATTTAACATTTAATCGTTTGGCGTCTTTAATATCAAAATATAGCATTCGAATCGTTAAGGTAGTTAATCCGTAGAGCGCCGGATTTTCATTGGTGACGTTGAAGGGTCTTTGTATAAGTTTACGTTACTTACTGAGGAAGCATACTTTGCTGTCACTTTATTTAACTATTAAGATAATAAATGTTAATTCTGAGCGAAATTGTGACAAATATCCATACAATATTACAAACACGGTAACAATACTCGAGGAAAAAGTAGTATTATCGTTCTTGTAAAGGTATTGTGATTCCTCTTAATATCTCCATTAATAGCGAATTCCATGAGTGATTACTTTTGACTGATTGTATCGTCTGACAAGCGAGTCAGTATCCACATTAAAAATTCACGGTAACGTTCACTGTTATTCCTTCTAAGAGTTTATTTTGAATACATGTACAATTTTGTAACGGAACACTCTATGTTACTTAAACAAAAAGTAGTGTCTATTTTATTTGCGAATGTTTCAGCTTCCAAACGATCAATCATTTCTCGAACTGTGCAAATATGTATATAACATTTCGATCAAGATGCGGCTGAAATTTAAAAAGATTCCCGAAATAGTAGCTCGACGGATCAACTGCTTTAAATACTTAACTGAATCAAACGTTTTAAAGAAATCGGCCAAATCCACCATCGACCGGGTAATCCGGGATTTTCCGAGGACTCGCCCGCTGTGAACTCGAGATCGGAAAACCGACGGTCCCGGACGGCGAAAAAAATGGCAAAAATCAGCGACGTCGCAAGGGTTGGGCGCGTAAACACGATTAAAGGCCCACGAGGGTTGCGCTCGCATCTCTCCCTCTTTCTCTCTCACCCTCGTTCAAGCAGAGAAAGAGAAAGCCGCACGCAGATGGTGAATGGAGGGGACCGAGCAAGCGTGGAGGGCACACGCTGCGCTCTCGCGTTCGCCTGCTTCGCTCGGCGCGCTCAGTCGTTCGCCGCGCGCGCGCCAAGCTGACACGCGCAGCCCCGTAGCTCGCAGTTCCCACAGTTCGTGTCGAGCCGCGTGCGAGGTTCCAGCACCGTCGGCACCGAGGGATCGATCACACCCCTTCAGAGCACGCGGCCCAGTGATAACGCTTCGCGTCCGGGGGTTGGGGGGGATTGTTACCGCTGAGTACCGGAGGACGGAGGAGGAAAGAGGGAGAGAGAGAGAGTGTGCGACTGTTAACCGCAACTGCCCGGTGCGTCGGCCCACGTGAACATCCACTTTCTGTTGTGTTTGACGCGAGTGCTCGATCCGGCGAATCGATATCACGTCGAGTGACGTACACCGGACGCAACAACAGCGAGCAGTGCGTCGATAAAAGTTGCCCGGCTGACTCAACTATCGCGCCGTTCATTTCGGAGTAACCGGCTGTCTCGTTATTCTCGTAGGATCCTTCGAGTGACACGACACTTCGTTTATCGAGAGGGAGGGTATCGCGCCCGAGAGCTTCGAGATATCGAACGCGGCGATCGATAGTAGTAGTCGTAGTAAGTTGTCGTGCGCGCGGGAAACGTCGCTCCGCGCGAGACGAACGTCACGCTCTCTCTCTCTCTCTCTCTCTCGCTCGCTCGCACGCAAGTCGCGACTGGCCTGTCGTCGGCCAGCTCTTATAAAACTTATCTTCGCGCCGTGATAAGCTCATCAATCAAATACGAAGGCGCGTCCGATCGGAGCGAGATCGCGCGACCCCGCGCGCGACAACAATCCGGAGCGCGCTCGGGACGAATGGGCGCGTCTCGCTCGTAATAGGTGACGCGATTATTTCTTCGCAATTCATTCTCAGTCTTCCCTCGAGATCGAAGACACGAGAGCCAAGACGAGGACACCGCTCACGGAACGATGACAGATCGGAGTAACCAAGTCGTCGTCGTCGGCGGATCAATCAAGCGGAAACGCGAGGATCGCCGAGCAGCTTGAGATTTTCCAGCGGGAACTCGATCGGTGAACTCGTCAGTTCGCGGACATCACAAGGAGAGTCACCCTGAGCCTCCTCTTTATCTCTCTCTCTCTCTCTCTCTCACACACACACACTTTCTTGGCGATAATAGCTCGGCGAGAATCGGAGCTCGCGTTCTTCTCGAGCACGGGTCACGCGTTCGAGCGTCGATCGAATTAAAAAAATACCAAGCGACGGTCAACAAGGAGGACAAGCGAAAGATAACCGAGGCGAGGCGGCACGCAGAAGGAGCGTCGGTGGAAAGGAGGAGGTCCCAGCCGGCGCCTTCTTCTTCGTCTCTCCTCTTCTTCTGCTCGCGCGACGAACCCGGCGAAGGAAATTACGACGATCGTCAGCTGTCGATCCCGCGCGAGTTTGGCCTCTCGTTCCTCGGCAGCTACGGCGGCGAGGAGGAGGAAGCCGAGGACGGAGTGCAGTGTCGTTTCGGTGTTATTTGGAGTACCGGCGGAGGATCGCCTACGGGGGAGGCTACGGGGCGAGCGGGAATGCGCGAGAGCGATCGGTATGACGAGCGACGCGAACTGATGCTTCGGGAGCGAGAGGAAGCGCTCGGGAAGGAAGCCAGGATGATGATGGCGCCGCAGATCGTGGGTGTCCTGCTGAAGAAACCGGGACAGCAGACGCACCCACGATTGCCGCCCTTGGACCCGCAGGAGACCAAGATTAAGGGTGAGTCTCGACGTATTCTCTTGCTAAATTGCACTCCGATCGCACATTCAGCGCCGGGCTTTCCCTTCCTATTCTCAAGTTGAGACGAAAAGAACCGAAAAGAAAAGAACGGCAAAATGGTAAGAGAACACCCTGGCTTTCGTCGAAAGGTAAACAGAACCTTGGGAGCAAACCCGGCCGTTTAACGCTAAATATGCGCGTCCAAAACTCCGTCCCAGACACGTGTCGAGCGTCGAGGAAAGGGAAAACAAGAAAAAATTATCGCTACAACGCGGCGGAGGCGAGTCATTATACGACGCCGATAGCGTATCAAATAGGTTAATTACTATTGCAATTGAGCGAAGAAATAGAGCTAGTATCGAGCGATCGCAAATCTCCCTATCGATTAGGAGCAACTAGTTCGCCCATCGCGACGGATACGCAATTTGAAGTTGTCCTTCTCGACGAGGCAGGGTCACGTACAGGGTCGCGTGCCTGCGCCGATCGAATGAAAAATTGTCAGACGACTATCGAGAAGAAATGCGGCCGAGTTCGGGCGAACGACGCGGAACGTTTACGATCGCGAACAATGCTAGACATTATATTCGAAGCTTCGGCTCTTCGAAACCTCCGACACATTATATTCGGATAATGAAATTTTGAAGTGTGAAAATTCGAACATTCGGATGTTCGAATATTGGAATATTCGACGCTTCAAGAATTAGAAGGTATGCGTTTTGTAAGTTGTATTTATTGTCCTAAAGAATGTAATTATTCCTTGCATTGTGTCATGCTGTTATCATGGCAAATATTTCGAAATAAAATTAATGAGATTTGTTATATATTGCCGAGTGGAAAGTTTAGTTGTTTACTAAGTCTTCATAGGTGTTCTGTTGAGCTCCTTTGATGTTACAAGTGGGAAGTTACTTCCATTTTCTCCATTTGAAGATTTAATGTAGAGCTAAATAGACTTAATGTAGAATCAAAATGTCGACTCGGGTGCTATGTGCTTCAAAGTATCTAAATATCTAAGACTTTATGTGAAATATTGAGGTCGAAAGTAGAGTTATAGTTTCAACTGGGGAAGTTAAATAGAATTAAACTAGGTTCATGTAGGCTAGAGAATATCAAAGTGGGTTAAATGGAATTTTCAGGTAGAAAGTACCAGAGTCGAAATTTTAGCTCATTAAATCTACTTAATTCTATGTTAAGTCTTCTATTATATTCTTCTGGTGCTATAAATGGGAATTTAATTCTTTCCCCCCTTGAAGATTTAATGTTGAATTTTAAATTCCCCCAAGACGGTTTAAATTACCTTTGTGTCAAAGGAATGCTATTAGTGTTCTTTTGATGCTAGAAATGGGAAGTTATTTCTTCACTAAAAGACTTAACATAGAACTAAGTAGACTTAATGTAGGGCCAGAATTTCGAACATGTCGAATAATACTGCCCCCAATCGCGAATAAATGGACACAGGACGCGTGGTTACTCGATTAAAAAGAGAACGTAAAAAAAAAAAATAAAAAAAGAACTACACCTCTCGTACGCTCGAAACGGTGAAACTCGCCGCTGTCGACCTAATCTCCATCTGGGTAATTAGCGCGACCGAATTTCCAATTCGACGATTAATCAATTTCGATCGCGACGTACGAAGTATATCCCGATGAGTCATCGTGTTCTCTCTCTCTCTCTCTCTCTTGTCATAACGGAGCGCGCGAGTCCGCCGTGTTCCCTTCGAGTACCTGAACAAACGATCATTCCCTTCCGGTCCTCCCCTCCCTGGTATGAGCGGAAGGTTACCGGACCACACCGGAGGAAGAAGTTATTTTCATTGTGACAGGCCCTGCGGGTTACATCTTGTAAACAGGCGGTCGGCAGACGTAAACTCGCCGTTCACCGCGGCCGGCTCTTGCCGTTGCCGCGCGGCGCGCCGGCGTTACGCTATCGGAAAGTATTATGATTCATCGGAGCGTGTTGTATGTATATGTTACAATAACGAGGCGCCTTATCGGCCGCTGTAATAAGAGAGCCGACCGAGCATTCCCTGAAATATCGAAACTTTCGCTTAAGCCAACTCAACATCAATCTATCGATCTCCCTCTCTCCTCTCCTCGTTCGGTGTCTATGGAGGAATGCACGGCCATTGCCAGCTTTTTCATTGATTAATGGCTAAACGGAACATGACGCGATTTGAACGCGAAATTAATGCACGGCCGGGTAAACCACGCCTAAAAATATCTGAAAATAGCGTTTATCTCCACCGTGGTCGTCGTCAGACCGGGTAGCGTCACGTGAGAATCCTCTAACTACGGTGGCGGTGGCGTAAGCCACGAACGCGGCAATTGGAGATTAAGTGGCTCTCCGTAGCGCCAGCTTGTTTACTCTATTATACCGATCAGCCGAGCCGACGCCTCGTGGCTCCGTTAACAATTATGTTAATGGGGCGGCGGCGTGTTATAAGACGATAACGGTGTAGATTTAGTGCGAGCGGGAGTTTGATAAAAAAAAAAAAAAAAAAAAAAANGAGAGAGAGAGAAAGAGAGAGAGATAAAAAAAGCGAGGAGAAAAGAAAAGCGAGCGCGAACACGCTCGCCGTATCGCGCGCTTTCTCCGTTAAATTTATCAGATACATATTCAGATCGGCGTGATCTCGAAGAGATGGCGATGTATTTCACAAGAATACGCAAAGTCCTCACGGGGATACCGTTTCCCGAGATTTTGATCCTACGTTAAGTCTATTTAGTTCTGCACTGTGTATTCAAGTTCGGAGAAAACGGAAATGAGCTAATAGTGCTCCTGTGACGGTACAAAGGGGGTTCAGATCATTCAGAGGGAAATTTTCAATTTTACATTGAGTCTCCAAGAAGAGAACGGGGACAACTTCCCATTTGTTGCGTCGAAGGAACGCAATGCAAGACCTTTGGAGATTTAATGTCGAATTAAATGGACTTAATGCAGAACTGAAATTTCACGTTTCGTTCTCTCACCCGAAACTCCCGCGGAGGGGGGGTTGCGACTCGCGAATTTCGAAGGTTGAGCGAAGAAACATAGTCCCGTCGCTTGTGCTTCGCAACCTCTGAAAGGTCTTTTAGAAGCCCGTTTCGTTCGTACACGATTGACAATTCGTGCTCCGTAATCCGGTATCTGGGCTACCGTGGTAACGGGATACTTTTACGTGGCCGTCCACTCCGGGGAACGTGAAAACCGAGCTCTCTAGCGAAGCGGACGGCCGAGGAAAACGTGTTTCTGGATACCGCCGAATGTACGCGCGCATAGAACAAGGAAAGAGAGAGAGAGAGAGAAAGAGAGATACACGCGGAATCGCGGCAGCTGAGAGAATCGGGATCGCGGCGCAATTAGCGGCCGGTCGAGTTGGAACTCGTCGAACGTTAAGTGACCTCGATTGCGGCGGCGCAATGTAATTCGAAGGTCCTCCCCCCGCAATTGGCGTTTTTAAGCGGCGAAAGCCGAAAGCGACGATGACGGTTTCGCGCGGAAGTGCCGCGAAAATAGATCATTGTTTCGACGAAGACCGAAACGGCGGCTTCGCCGAATCGGCACCACCCACGTGCGCGTGTGTGCGTTTGCTTATCTAATCCCACGGATCCATCTAAAATAAGCCCGGCGCTTCGTCAAATATCTACGTCGTGACCGACTCCGACGCGGCTCTGGGAACGCGCGGGCTGATAAAGACGTCTGGTCGCGTTTCGCGCACGCCGGTGGCGCGGAATTGATACGGCCGGTTAATTTTTAACGTCGAACGTGCCAAGTGCCTCCTGCCTGCCTTACCTGCCTACCTAAATTCCTGCGTTTACGGCGGGTCAGGAAACAGTAAAAAGAAAGCGGGCGAGCGCGCCTATCGACATCGGCGCTCCCCGTGCCGCTTTTCACGACTGCTCTCCTCAACGAAGCCCGCCCCCTCCTACCCTCCACGACTTTTCGCCCCGCGAGCCCGACCGTCGTCGGCGCAACCCTTTCTCTTCTAACGGGAACATTATTAAACTTACCGGATTTTCCGTTTCATTGCACATTCGACGAACGGTTACGACATCGGCGCACGCCAATCCCGCTGTTGCAAAACCCCGCCGTATAACGAGGCGCACTCCCCCTCGTCCATCCCCCCTCCCTCCGTTGGCTCGATATCGGCTTTATATTATAATTTCGACTGCAACTGCATTCAACCGTTAATTATTACCTCTCCCAGCACGGAACGGACGGAGAAATATCGCGGCTCTTACGGAAAGAAACCTTGTATAAGCTTTAATTACCTTCAGAGCGGAATACATTCGGATAATTCTCGCACGACTTGGAAATGATTTATTGTGCGGAGAGAACCGAGTTAATAAAACTCTCTCGCGAGCGAGTGCCAACGTCTTCCTCTCTCTCTCTCTCTCTCCTTCGTCTCCCCGACTTGTTTCGCAATTTTCGCGAAATAAGAGTCGAGTCTCTCGGACATAAAGGAGCTCTTTGTGGCACGAAGGGGCACTGCGACCATGTAAATAGCCAATGCGGGGCCCTTTAAAAATCCACGAGACGCGCACGCAAGGCTGTCGACGAGACGCGCGTCTCGTCCTTCGCGCGTGCAGCCGGGAAACTGGATTTCAAGGTGTTGCCGCTGCGGCGAGTCTCTCTCTCTCTCTTCACGGAGATTCGTCGTTTTCGAGTCGACGATTTCGAGGATATTCGCCGGAGGTACGAATCTGTATCGGTACGTTTTGATTCGTCGCCCGGCTCCTCCTGCGTAACGAGCGTGTCTCCGTCCTCTCTGTCTCCTTCCTTCTCGCTCGCTCGCTCGCTTTCTCTCCCTCTATCTTTCTTCCTTGTCCTCCGGAGTCTCCGGACGACTTAAATTAGGGTCACAGTGCCGAATTAAGCACGGTCCACAAGTGCCATTCACGAGGAACTCGCCGCGACCGGGGATTAAGATATACACATGTAGATAAAGTCGGGCCCCCGTCCGTACGAGTTTCTGCGATTCTCTAGGAATCCTTTTGATACTTGAGAATCCTCCTGAGAAATCC